TTTTCTTCTCAATTATACCTTAAGCCTTTTATTTACTTATCCAATCTTAATTTAGCCTGTTTAACTAACTACTTAAAATCTATTTAAACCTCAAACTACTTTAAACCCAAAAGATAACCAATTCAAAAAAACACTCTACACTACATAGTCATTCTTTATTTTTTCTCTTTATAAAATTAATATTTATTTTAATTCTTATAGCAAAATATAGAATGAATTTGATAAAAAGAAAATACTATATATTTTGCAGATAGAAAAAGGCCTTGGGCCATACGAACGGACAGAGAAACTAAGAAAAATAAGAGAAATTCTTAAACCACACATTGATACGCAAATGTGTGTGTTCATATGGTAGAGTAACAGCAGAGAAAAAAGTTTACGGACGCCTAAAGTTAGATACAATTGATCTACAGCGATCGACTAGAGACTAGATTATAGACTAGACTATACACTAGACTATAGACTAGACTATAAATTAGACTATAGCCTAGACTATAGCCTAGACTATAGACTAGACTATACACTAGACTATAGACTAGACTATAGGCTGGACTATAGACAAGACTATAGGCTGGACTATAGACTAGACTATACACTAGACTATAGACTAGACTATACAATAGATATAGACTAGACTAGACTAGACTAGACTAGACTATAGACTATAGACTAGACTATAGACTAGACTATAGACTAGACTATAGACTAGACTATAGACCAGACTATAGACTAGAAGATAGACTAGACTAGACTATAGACTAGACTATAGACTAGACTATAGACTAGACTATAGACTAGACTATAGACTAGAATATAGACTAGACTATAGACTAGACTATAGACTAGACTATAGACTAGACTATAGACTAGACTATAGACTAGACTATAGACTAGACTATAGACTAGACTATAGACTAGACTAGACTAGACTATAGACTAGACTATAGACTAGACTATAGACTAGACTATAGACTAGACTATAGACTAGACTATAGACTAGACTATAGACTAGACTATAGACTAGACTATAGACTAGACTATAGACTAGACTATAGACTAGACTATAGACTAGACTATAGACTAGACTATAGACTAGACTATAGACTAGACTATAGACTAGACTATAGACTAGACTATAGACTAGACTATAGACTAGACTATAGACTAGACTATAGACTATAGACTATAGACTATAGACTAGACTATAGACTAGACTATAGGCTAGACTATAGACTAGACTATAGACTAGACTATAGACTAGACTATAGACTAGACTATAGGCTAGACTATAGACTAGACTATAGACTAGACTATAGACTAGACTATAGACTAGACTATAGACTAGACTATAGACTAGACTATAGGCTAGACTATAGACTAGACTATAGACTAGACTATAGGCTAGACTATAGACTAGACTATAGACCAGACTATAGGCTAGACTATAGACTAGACTATAGACTAGACTATAGACTAGACTATAGACTAGACTATAGACTAGACTATAGGCTAGACTATAGACTAGACTATAGACTAGACTATAGACTAGACTATAGACTAGACTATAGACTAGACTATAGACTAGACTATAGACTAGACTATAGGCTAGACTATAGACTAGACTATAGACTAGACTGTAGACTAGACTATAGACTAGACTATAGACTAGACTATAGACTAGACTATAGACTAGACTATAGACTAGACTATAGACTAGACTATAGACTAGACTATAGGCTAGACTATAGACTAGACTATAGACTATAGACTAGACTATAGACTAGACTATAGACTAGACTATAGACTAGACTATAGGCGACTATAGACTAGACTATAGACTAGACTATAGACTAGACTATAGACTAGACTATAGGCTAGACTATAGACTAGACTATAGACTAGACTATAGACTAGACTATAGACTAGACTATAGAGAGACTATAGACTAGACTATAGACTAGACTATAGACTAGACTATAGACTAGACTAGACAGACTAGACTATAGACTAGACTATAGACTAGACTATAGACTAGACTATAGACTAGACTATAGACTAGACTATAGACTAGACTATAGACTAGACTAGACTAGACTAGACGAGACTATAGACTAGACTATAGACTAGACTATAGACTAGACTATAGACTAGACTATAGACTAGACTATAGACTAGACTATAGACTAGACTATAGACTAGACTATAGACTAGACTATAGACTAGACTATAGACTAGACTATAGACTAGACTATAGACTAGACTATAGACTAGACTATAGACTAGACTATAGACTAGACTATAGACTAGACTATTGGTTGGTTTACGTGGTAGTTCACTACACGCGAACTGTCAAGTAGAGTCAAAGAGACCCCGTTTTGACTAGACTATAGACTACATTGTATATAATTAGTATTTATTCTTTCATCCTCAAAGTTTGAAGTTCAAACCCGTCTTCCAATTACTCTTCCCCACTGTATGGGAAAATACGATTCCTTTTAACTGCTTAAAAGTGTATGCCTGTAAATGTAAGTTTGCAAATATATGTGTGCATATATTTGCTTAACATACAAAAGTATATGTTTGTTTAAAAATTTTCGTATGCAAAAAGGACAAGTGTGTCCTTCTTCAATGAGTTGTTTTCCTTATTGTTGATTTTTGCAACAAAACAAGAAGAAATTGCAAAAAAAAGTAGAAAATTGTGCTTTTTTATTTCTATATTTTTGTGAACTGCTAATTCAAACAAGAAGGCAATTTATCATAGAAAAATATTTGACAATAAGACAAGTAAAAGATAATGATGTTATATAACTGCATACACTAACAAACGTTTATAAAAAGAATATAAACATATGAGTAAGAGCGTGTGTAAACATGCTTTACATTAGAATATACACACATAAATACATACAGATATGTATGTTTAAGAAAGAAGACAAGAAGCTTATTTTACGCTTCAAAACTCATATGGTCATAAACACACATACATGTAGCCAAACATAAACATAAACATTTGCAAATGTATGTAAGTATGTAGTTGTATAAATGCAATATGGACGGAAGTGCAGCTGGGAATAAATAATAACGAAAAAAAACTTATATACATATATTTGTTTGTGTTAGCAGGAATTCAAAAAGGACATTCCTTATTATCAACACAACAAACAGAAGCTATATCAACAACAACATTATTCTCTTTTAACAAAGCCAAGACAAATAAAACAAACAAACTTGTTATAGACATTCTCTTTGCCAAATCATAATGATGCATAACCAGCTTTGAAAAGGATAAGAAATCGTTAACAGAAGTATAACGAAGAAAAAAGTGATAGGGGAAAAGGCCCGCGGACTAACGAACGAACGAACGACTAACGAACGAACGAACGACGAACGAACGAACGAACGAAACGAACGAACGAACGAAACGAACGAAAACGAACGAAGAACGAACGAAAACGAACGAAAAGAACGAACGAAACGAACGAACGAACGAACGAACGAACGAACGAACGAAACGAACGAACGGAACAACGAACGAACGAAAGAACGAACGAACGAACGAAGAACGAACGAACGAACTAACGAACGAAACGAACGACGAACGAACGAACGACGAACGAACGAACGAAGAACGAACGAACGAACGAACGAACGAACGAACGAACGAAGAACGAACGAACGAACGAACGAACGAAGAACGAACGAACGAACGAACGAAACGAAACGAACGAACGAACGAACGAACGAACGAACGAACGAACGAACGAAACGAACGAAAGAACGACGAACGAACGAGAACGAACGAACGAACGAACGAACGAACGAACGAACGAACGAACGAACGAACGAACGAACGAACGAAAAGAACGAACGAACGAACGAACGAACGAAAACGAACGAACGAACGAACTAACGAACGAACAAACGAACGAACGATACGAACGAACGAACGAACGAACGAACTAACGAACGAAACGAAACGAACGAACGAAGAACGAACGAAACGAACGAACGAACGAACAACGAACGAACGAACGAACGAACGAACGAACGAAGAACGAACGAAGAACGAACGAACGAACGAACGAAACGAACGAACGAAACGAACGAACGAACGAACGAACGAACGAACGAACGAACGAACGAACGAACGAAACGAACGAAAACGAACGAAACGAACGAACGAACGAACGAACGAACGAACGAGAACGAACGAAACGAACGAAACGAACGAACGAACGAAACGAACGAACGAACGAACGAACGAACGAACGAACAACGAACGAACGAACGAACGAACGAACGAACGAACGAACGAACGAAGAACGAACGAAACGAACGAACGAAAACGAAACGAATAAAACGAACGAACGAACGAACGAAAGAACGAAAAAACGAACGAACGAACGAAAAACGAAAACGAACGAACGAACGAAACGAACGAAAAACTAACAACACGAACTACTAACTAACGAACGAACTAACACGAACTAACGAACTAACAAAACTAAAACTAACTAACGAACAACTAAACGAACTAACTAACTAACTAACTAACTAACTAACACTAACTAACTAACTAACTAACTAACTAACAACTAACTAACTAACTAACAAACTAACTAACTAACTAACTAACTAACTAACTAATTAACTAACTAACTCTGACTGTGAGTAAAGACTAGTGACAAAGTTTTGTGATTTTAAATATCGAGCTTCTGATAGCATTATTGGAGATATCTGGGGTCTTCTGAAAATTGATTTCAACATAGATACGAAGAGACAGACGGACATGGCTAAATCGAACGGAATATTATACATATATTATAAATTAAAAATAAAAACTTAAAGGTATAAAAAGGCCCCTTTAAAAAATGAATACCTTAAATAACTAAATTCCTTCCTTTCGTAAATATTTATATATCCACATACTGACGAGTTGGTTTAACAAACCATAAAATAAACCAAAAAAAAATTGAAAAAAATTAAGACAACAAGATAAGGATATTTAAAAAAGTAATAATTTAAGATCACTTTATTGCAATAAATAAATAAAACTCAAATTATAAATAAAAAAATAAAATAAATATAATTACACATTAAATAAAACACACGACGACGACACTCTCACAAATAGTGCCAAATAAACCAAATGGCAAATATCACACCCAAAACCAAATCCATGGGCAATACCAGTTTACCCTTCTGAGACTCTTCGATGCGAGAATGCTCAATAATGCGGCGAGCGCAACGCAGCCATTGATTTATTGAAATGGCTTCGGGTGAGGAGAATTCATATTCCTCCTTAACGGAACTATGTGTATTCGAACTGCCCGACGAAGAGGCAGCTTTCGTTAATAGAGTTATATTCTTAGAGGTATTAAGCTTTAATTCTATTGTATCCCAAGTATACGAATGCTTAAAGGCTAAACGACGTTTACGCACTTCGGTGCATAGAAGGCACTGATCGAAGAGGAAAACTTTGGAGTGGAATTTTTTACGTGATCTATGGTTATAGGCATCGAATTCGGTGGAACGTCTAAAGGAACCCAGTTGTTCGAGATGGAGCTGGAAATATAAGAATAAGGGAAGAATAAAATGAAGTTTATATTGGTTGGCTTAAGAACTTACCTCAGGAGGTATTTCCTCTATACAGTGTATCTCTTCCGATTGATTGACCACCTCCAACAGACGGCGCATGCGTGTCTCTAATTTACACAATGAAGACAAGACGGGCTTACAATTAATACCACTTTTATAGAATTCCTGGAGAAAGTTAAAAAATGGTATTTCTCGATATTTTTCAAATATTTTATATCGCAATTACTCACATTTATTAACTGCTGTAATAGTAGGGGATATCGGGTCAGTCTTTGTATGGGTTGTACTAGAAAACTATCAATACCTAAACGATCATTGATCTCATTTTGATAATTCTGGAAAAACTCTCGATTTTCTTTGCGCAATTCCAAAGATGTCTTCTTGTGCATGGTGAAAGTTATATAGCAATAAAATTGATTTTTCTATAAAGAAATAAAGTGATAAAAAATTTTAAAATTTTATGATAATTAATAGCGAAAAGTCTTGACAGTTATAAACATTTTAAATTCTGACATGTGAAGTCTTGCCTCCATTATTACTAAATAAATACTAAATAGTTTATTTTACTCAAACCTGCCATTCCAGTTTGTCTCCTTTAAAGTTCAGTGCCTTAACATAAGGTTGTAATCATTCTATAATTTTCCTATGCAAATTTCTGTGACCATACTCTACTATTGCAAGAAATAGAATATATAACGTAATTTAGTCTAAATGCAAATATGTATAGTTTTTACACATTTATAGCACAAATAGGACTAAAATACACATATAGAATAGATTCATATGTATGTAGATATGAAGTATAAATTTCAAAAAGCAGTGAAAAGTAAAACTGTTTATGTAAAATTTTTTTTTTTTTCAGTATAACAGTTTTGTAAAGAATATTTATTAAAGTATAACAGTTTTTCATTGGAAATTGTTAAAGTGTAACAGTTCTTTATTAAAATTGTTATAGTATAACAGTTTTCTATTGAAAAGTGTTACAGTATAACAGTTTTTATAAAATTTTTAATGTCCAACTGTTTACATAGTAAATTGTTATAGTATAACAATTTTCCATCAAATTTTGTCAAAATATAACGGTTTTTTATTAAAAAAATTTAAAGTATAACAGTTCAATATGGACAATTGTTAAAGTATAGAGCTTTTCTTAAGAAAATTATAATCGTATAACAGTTTCTCTAGAAAATTATAACAGTTTTCTATAGCAAAATGTTTCAGAATAAATGTTTTCTATAGCAAATTGTCTAGTCTATGTCTAGTCTATAGTCTAGTCTATAGTCTAGTCTATAGTCTAGTCTATAGTCTAGTCTATAGTCTAGTCTATAGTCTAGTCTATAGTCTAGTCTATAGTCTAGTCTATAGTCTAGTCTATAGTCTAGTCTATAGTCTAGTCTATAGTCTAGTCTATAGTCTAGTCTATAGTCTAGTCTATAGTCTAGTCTATAGTCTAGTCTATAGTCTAGTCTATAGTCTAGTCTATAGTCTAGTCTATAGTCTAGTCTATAGTCTAGTCTATAGTCTAGTCTATAGTCTAGTCTATAGTCTAGTCTATAGTCTAGTCTATAGTCTAGTCTATAGTCTAGTCTATAGTCTAGTCTATAGTCTAGTCTATAGTCTAGTCTATAGTCTAGTCTATAGTCTAGTCTATAGTCTAGTCTATAGTCTAGTCTATAGTCTAGTCTAGTCTAGTCTATAGTCTAGTCTATAGTCTAGTCTATAGTCTAGTCTATAGTCTAGTCTATAGTCTAGTCTATAGTCTAGTCTATAGTCTAGTCTATAGTCTAGTCTATAGTCTAGTCTATAGTCTAGTCTATAGTCTAGTCTATAGTCTAGTCTATAGTCTAGTCTATAGTCTAGTCTATAGTCTAGTCTATAGTCTAGTCTATAGTCTAGTCTATAGTCTAGTCTATAGTCTAGTCTATAGTCTAGTCTATAGTCTAGTCTATAGTCTAGTCTATAGTCTAGTCTATAGTCTAGTCTATAGTCTAGTCTATAGTCTAGTCTATAGTCTAGTCTATAGTCTAGTCTATAGTCTAGTCTATAGTCTAGTCTATAGTCTAGTCTATAGTCTAGTCTATAGTCTAGTCTATAGTCTAGTCTATAGTCTAGTCTATAGTCTAGTCTATAGTCTAGTCTATAGTCTAGTCTATAGTCTAGTCTATAGTCTAGTCTATAGTCTAGTCTATAGTCTAGTCTATAGTCTAGTCTATAGTCTAGTCTATAGTCTAGTCTATAGTCTAGTCTATAGTCTAGTCTATAGTCTAGTCTATAGTCTAGTCTATAGTCTAGTCTATAGTCTAGTCTATAGTCTAGTCTATAGTCTAGTCTATAGTCTAGTCTATAGTCTAGTCTATAGTCTAGTCTATAGTCTAGTCTATAGTCTAGTCTATAGTCTAGTCTATAGTCTAGTCTATAGTCTAGTCTATAGTCTAGTCTATAGTCTAGTCTATAGTCTAGTCTATAGTCTAGTCTATAGTCTAGTCTATAGTCTAGTCTATAGTCTAGTCTATAGTCTAGTCTATAGTCTAGTCTATAGTCTAGTCTATAGTCTAGTCTATAGTCTAGTCTATAGTCTAGTCTATACTCTAGTCTATACTCTAGTCTATAGTCTAGTCTATAGTCTAGTCTATAGTCTAGTCTATAGTCTAGTCTATAGTCTAGTCTATAGTCTAGTCTATAGTCTAGTCTATAGTCTAGTCTAGTCTAGTCTAGTCTAGTCTAGTATAGTCTAGTCTATAGTCTAGTCTATAGTCTAGTCTAGTCTATAGTCTAGTCTATAGTCTAGTCTAGTCTAGTCTATAGTCTAGTCTAGTCTATAGTCTAGTCTATAGTCTAGTCTATAGTCTAGTCTATAGTCTAGTCTATAGTCTAGTCTATAGTCTAGTCTATAGTCTAGTCTAGTCTAGTCTATAGTCTAGTCTATAGTCTAGTCTATAGTCTAGTCTATAGTCTAGTCTATAGTCTAGTCTAGTCTATAGTCTATAGACTAGACTATAGTCTAGTCTATAGTCTAGTCTATAGTCTAGTCTATAGTCTAGTCTATAGTCTAGTCTATAGTCTAGTCTATAGTCTAGTCTATAGTCTAGTCTATAGTCTAGTCTATAGTCTACTCTATAGTCTAGTCTATAGTCTAGTCTATAGCCTAGTCTATAGTCTAGTCTATAGTCTAGTCTATAGTCTAGTCTCTGGTCTAGTCTATAGTCTAGTCTCTAGTCTAGTCTAGTCTAGTCTATAGTCTAGTCTATAGTCTAGTCTATAGTCTAGTCTATAGTCTAGTCTATAGTCTAGTCTATAGTCTAGTCTATAGTCTAGTCTATAGTCTAGTCTATAGTCTAGTAGTAAGTCTATAGTCTAGTCTCTAGTCTAGTCTCCAGTCTAGTCTAGTCTATAGTCTAGTCTATGGTCTAGTTTTAAATTTTCCATGCCTGGTATATACTTAGATTGCATACTTATGTTGTTGTCTCCTTATTTACAGCTGAAACACAAAATTACATTTTTCTCACATTTTGCTTACATACAATTTCTTCTTTGAATAATTGTGATAATGTAATAGCAACAACTTTTTAATGATTTGCTAACATATAGTATCCCATCTTACTTACACTCCCATTCAACAATTCACTCTTTCATGTTTGGCGACTTATGTACGAATGGCCCTGGAAACCAAGAAACAACGACAACAACATATTCTAAAGAATTTGCCAAATTTGTACATTTTTATTAAACACTTTTTACTAATTTAAAAAACTTTTTTCAAAATGTTTCTTTATACCAATATAAATTAACATTTGTTTAATATTATACAACAAAAATATTTTTAACAATTAATTAATGTTTGAGCTTAATTTAAACAGTATCATTAACCCTAAACAATCGAACAATTTAGAAATATTAAGAAACCTAATGAAATGGAACAATAACAAAAAGCATTCATCACATAGTGCAGTTGTTGTTATTGTTATTGGATATTTGCTCTTTAAATAGAGTAAACAACAACAATGACAAGTTCTTTTACCATTTGTTGCTTTAGTTATTTTCTTCTTCTTTAGTTGCTAAAAATTTCTAAAGTGTTCGGTTGTTTAATGTTAATAGTCCTGTTTAAATTAATCTAAAGAGTTAATAAATTGGTAATATTTAAATATTTTGTGGAGAATTGTTTATAAATACCATTATGGAAAATTGCTTATAAAAAAAACTGTATATTATTTGTCAAAAAAGTGTTAAATTATTCATTTAAAAAAGTGTTTTTTTTTTAGTTTGCAAAAAATTCAATGCATTTCGTTAGGCCGAGCATCGCTACGCTTCGGTGGTTTTCTTTTGTCGTGCCTTTCGTTGAAGTGATGAGAAAGCATCAATCAAAGGGTATAGTGAGAGAGTTTGGAAAACAAAATTGTTGAAAAAATGTCAAAGGGGAAAAGGTGTGAGAAATAATGAAAAGAAAAAAACTTAAAGAAAAAGAGTTGGTGCGTATGTATGTAAATATGCATGTGTTGCAAAATGGAATTATTGTTCTTGTATGCAAGGAAATACAAACCGGAGAATATCATTATTAGAACAACAAATTAAAAAGGTAAGTGATTTGACATAACTAGTACAATTTGTTTTTGTTTCTTTATTCAATTTATTTTTTGTTTCTTATATTAAATTTGACTATAAAAATTCGAGGGTCTTCACTATATAGCCAATGGTATGACTATAGAGCAGTGTTATGTCTTGACTAGCGAACAGTCAATAATCTTGACTAGTTTATAGCCTTGCGTATAGGATAGTCTATAGTCCTGACTATAGAAAAGTCTATAGACTTGACCATAGAACAGTCTATAGTCTAGATTATAGAACAGTCTATAGCCTTGGCTATAGAAAAATCTATAGTCTTGCCTATAGAATAGTCTATAATCTTGACTACAGAGCAGTCTATAGTCTTGTCTATAGAACAGTCTAGGCTATTGACTGACTCCTGACTATATAACAGTATATAGTTCTGATTATAGAATAGTCCATAGTCTTGCCTATAGTCTAGTCTATAGTCTAGTCTATAGTCTAGTCTATAGTCTAGTCTATAGTCTAGTCTATAGTCTAGTCTATAGTCTAGTCTATAGTCTAGTCTATAGTCTAGTCTATAGTCTAGTCTATAGTCTAGTCTATAGTCTAGTCTATAGCCTAGTCTATAGTCTAGTCTATAGTCTAGTCTATAGTCTAGTCTATAGTCTGGTCTATAGTCTAGTCTATAGTCTAGTCTATAGTCTAGTCTATAGTCTAGTCTATAGTCTAGTCTATAGTCTAGTCTATAGTCTAGTCTACAGTCTAGTCTATAGTCTAGTCTATAGTCTAGTCTAGTCTAGTCTATAGTCTAGTCTATAGTCTAGTCTATAGTCTAGTCTATAGTCTAGTCTATAGTCTAGTCTATAGTCTAGTCTAT